GAGATTTGCTCAACAGTGAACTCATTTGGCAGAAATAAGGCTAAAATAAGCTCTGCGTCTTACTTGAGGTAGAYTCCTTCAGCTTCCCGACAAGACTCCTTTATCTTTTTTCTCCTTTTATGCACTGAAAGCAGTAGTTTTAGTGAGGAATTACTGCAAAACAGTGCTTCTTTCCAGATACATATGAAAAACAAATCTTTTAGGAAATAAGCAGCACTGAATGTGACAGAGAGATAATTTATCTGCTATCACTTTACAATTTGCCATGTAATTTTACCTCCTTTAAAGGAAAAAAAATAGGTGCTACAGCTGTGTTAGGCAGAACTTACATATATCAGACTGTTAATGGACAATTTGACATAAGACTTCTGTGAAAAGAAACGTAAAAACATTCTTTACAATCCAGAAATTTTGTTCTGACGGTAYTAAAAACTGGTAGAATTATTAGAACACAGCTGAATTGCACAGCATGTGCATTCAAATTGTTAATGCCTAAAGTAGCAAGCCATTAGGTGAATAAATTTTAAATATAATTTAAAGGAAGTAAATGACAAACTCTCTGTAGAAACACTTGACATACAATTAAAGAAATGTTTCCAAGTTGTCTTTCTTTCACAGTGTAATCTCTGACATAATAAAATGGAAATAATTTTAGTCAAACCTAGATCAGAAATCTTAATCCCTCGTATCTCAACACTGCCAGTTGACATTATTTTCCACAAACACAGCACAACATTGAGTAAAATCATTTTTTATCTATTACGTATTTCACATCCTGATTTCCTTTCAATCATCCTTTGATATGGAAATAGAAAAGAGTCATTTATACTGCTCTAATTTTTCTGAAAAAAAAATGGAAGAATGGTAACACAACTTTTGTTAAGAATCATCATTTGCTCCCATCTATTTTTACTTCTAATCAAAAATTGCAATCTTAATGAAGTCTATGAACTCATTTCTAGAGAAAAATACGTGGCCTACGCTGAGGCATTACTCTTCCACCTAATTCTTTCTGGCACTGTTGAATGAATTTCACATAGTTTAAAAGATCCACCTCACATCACAGAACACTTCAATTTTGTTTTAAAGAAACTGCATTCTCTCATTCCAGATTAGTTTTGTACCCTGAAATGTATCTCTGTTTCCTTAAGAAGAGAGGAAAAGAGCTGCACATCTTCATGCATTAGGTGCTTATACAGGAAATTTATCTTTCTACACTTGTAAGCAAATATTAGGAAAATATTTTTACAGGAACAATGTAAAGGTCCTGTTTTATTATCAAGTGTTTTTTTGCTATACAAGGCTCTAGCACAACTATATTAAAGAAAAGAACAAGCAGTGACAGCTACAATTTGGGGAGGATTGAATCAAATTTTTGCCATTCTTTGCCAAACCGTAGGGTACCATCAGCCAGACATTTTGCTCATGTCTACCCTGCCCTATTCACATTGATAGTTCACATCAGAGAGAAGGGTGAACAAAATGGAAACAAGTAAATGAACAAACCTGTCGCTATGTTGGCAATTCAAATGCTGCTGTATGGAGCAGAAATACTAAGATCAGGAGCACAAGAGCTGACATTTCATGAGAAATTGTAAAATATCTAGAAAACACCAAGTAATGTCAGCTTTTTTAAAGGAAGTACATTACTTCCTTCTGAAATGCTGCCCTATGCAAAATGCTTTTACTAATATTGTTTTCTTACTAAGCATATTCAGTGTTCACTGCTCATCGTGAGCAGGCTGCCATGACATTAACATCCTTTCTGAATATGAAGGTAATATGAATGAAGTCACTTTTATTTTTTAATACATACCTTAAAATCACCGACTGTTTTCAGCAAGCACAACCATTGCTGAGATTACTACTAACAGTATGAACCCAATGAATATTCTCAGTAGATTACTACTAATTAGTAGATTACTAAAGCTAAGCCTGAATTTAGTAACTAAATTAACAGTCTTCTCATTTGAAAATGTTCCCATTAAACATAATCTGTCTGCAACCACGTGAAGAAAGAGTAGGCTTGGGTAAAAAACATGAAAAGCTAACCAATATCTAAAGCACATGCACAAACTTAAATTATACATTTATTAAATCCTCTTGACATATTCAAATAAGAATCATTAAAAGGTATGTGCCTCATTAACTACTAGGATGCATCAGTTACTGTTTATTTTGTAAGTGTTCATCACAGAATTGTCATAATTAAAGTAGGATGTCTATTGACTCCCAATACAAGGAATTCATATTTTGGGTTATCATGTATTATGTAAAGTAGGGAGAGAAAATTGTATATATTAAGTTCTGGTCTATATTTTTAAATACTTCTTGAAAATATTTGACATTTACCTTAAAAGGAAAAAATATGTCTCCAAAGGCTTTCCCTAAATAATTGTATCATTCATACCACATTCTAAAAAACATCTTAGCCAAGCATAAGACCTGGAAGGGACCTCTTAAGGGCTCACATACAGTCACAAGCAACCATATCATATAAATCTTAAATTTGCCTTTAAAACTTTCCTGAGGTTTTTAATTTCCCTTCCAAAGAATCATAGCAAAGATTTTCCCAAAGCTTCATGCTACCCACTGCAAAAATGTGGCTCATTTACATGCATTTAGTCTTACTTATTCATTGTCCTCTAGATAAGTGGGGTTTTTTATTGCTTAATATTTAAACTTACTGTATGTCTAGATATCAATTATATTTTCTCTAGCTTTTACTTCTCTAACCTCCCTAGTCTGCTCTCATATGATGAACTCTTCATTCCTTTGATCATCCTTTATATGACTTCCTTTGCACTTATCACATTATCATTATTAAAAATGGGTAACATGGTACACAACATCCAAGGTGAGGTCTCATTAGTACTACCATTACTGGCTTAAATCTCCACCTCTGATGGAAACACCTTGAATCTGGGGTTATGCTGGACTTTTTGGAGCCTGGAACTTCAGGAATTCACACTTCACCAAGCTTTCCAACTTACAAATCCCCTAGCTTGTAGCAACTTGGTACATTTGCTTTAATATTATTTATAGAGGTAAAAATCACATGGAGAGAACAAGACTCTTCTAAACATGCATCAAACTGCCACCATTCAACACACCAGATAAAGAGAAGCTAGTCAGTAATGTTGAGTCACTGAAAATAATTAATAAATAAGATTTTTCTGGTGTTGCTTTATATAAATTATTCCAATTGTTCTACTTATAAAAGCCATTATTTGGCAGTTATTTAATCATCTTTTTAATTAATATATTCTGTATGGTCTGTTAGCTTTCAGAGAAAGGCACTGTTCAGRAAAGTGTACGGTATAAGAAAGTTCCCTGTGCTCCTCACATCATCAGGCTCAACTGCTGCCTAATGTCCTGCTGAGCCCTGTAATTCTTCAGTGGTGAATGAGCAGTAGCTTAGCCTCTTTACAAGGTATAAATGGTATTTTCATGTATGTTATTAGGGCATTTTCTTGGCATGTCAAAGCTTGGGGTTCAACAATGGCAAAACCTAAACCAAGGCAAGTGCAAACAACAAGGTTATCTTTAACTGAAGTTAGAACTGAATTAGGTATTTTTTCAGCATATCTTCAGGGAACTTATGTGCTCAGGCCCTATTTTCTGGGTTTCAAACGGCACCAGTCAAAGAGAAATAACTAAGCTGTCACCTCTCCAAATAAGTATATGCAATCCAGATTCCCCTGGATTCCCCTCTCCAAGACCTAAGAGGCTAAATTGTACCTGAGTGGCACTTTGAGCACTTAAGAGCTTTGTTGTTTCTGGTCCTAAAGCTGTTTTCTGCTGCAAAAGCACTAGCTTTTTAATACACTCCAGTGGAGTCATCAGCGATGCACTCCTTTAGCAACAGATCAATAGCAAGTGAAAACTTCTCCACTCTGTCCTAAGTGATTTAGACTAATAAAATGGAACAGATCAGAGGTCCTGRGTTGTTTCACTACATTGTTCAGACMGAGCTGCACATAAAAAAAAMCAGTGGAATGAAAGTGCAGCCAGCCATATTTCATAGCCATTAGAAAATCAACCACATCCATTAGGAACTGGAAAATAAAACAGAAAACAACTCAGAGACAGACATTAGGGAGCTGCTTCATCCTTAATGTAAAGGCTACCTCTAACAGATGTTACCGATGCTGGAGATCACACTTGGTCTTCCTCTCTTATTTGGGTAGCACCTTGTTATGAATGGGTGTGGAAACTCTTGCCTCAAGGGAAAAATACCACAGTGCACAGARAGAAGGCTTTTCTCTGTCAGCTTTGCACTAATTGCAGTTTCCTTCTGCCCTCTGATATTAGCCACCATGCTGTAGCCCAAGTGCATCAGCACCACCTGCAAGCTAAAAGCTATACCAGGTTGTAGTGACTTTGCACTGATTTCAGCTGAAGTAACAGTGAARTAGCTTACTTAAAGTAACTGCTTCCCACTATCCAAGTCCCCAGGTTGAAAGTCCAGAATATCTTTTCCTGACCTGCCATAAACGGGAATACTGCCACCATTTCCTCTGCACAAAGGATGCAGAGAAGGGGCAACTGGACTGACCTATTTCTGAAGCAGCACAGGTATGAGTGATGTGGAGGCTACTATTGCATTGGGTGCCAAAGCAGTTTCAGCATTTTTTGAAATGCTATCATTACTCATTCCCAATGGATTCCCTCCATTTTCCTCACCACATTTATGTTTGGCTTTAAAAGGTCATCTTTTGCCCAGACAAGTATTTCAACTGCAAAATCAATTCATTTCAAAATCAAAAAGATGATTTCAGAAGGGTTCCCTGAATCTTGGTTGCAGTCAGAAGTGAAACACAGCAAGCAATACAAATCAGTGTAATATTACATTTTAATTTTAAAATTAGATTTCCTGAATCAGCTGGAAGGACCTTGCATGCAAAAACCAGGATTCCTAATCAATGTCATTTTTATTAAATAAAGTTTTATTATATTTTATTACTTTCTCTACTCTTAGTCTATTGGGATTAATAATCCTTGATTTTTAATGAATTGCTTCCATTGTCTTAATTTTGACAAAACCCAAGAATAATCTTAGTTTTCCTTGCTGGGTTGGCTTTAAAACTTTGTTCAGCTAGAGGATGGGAGGCGTCTGGTTGTGAGTTTTGCTACTCCTCCCCTCCTCCCCTTTGGATCATTTTAGAACTTCATTTTTTAACATGAATATCTTTCCCAGTTAACTAACAACATTATAATAAGAAATGATAAAAAGCATGGATTCTAACCACTTTATCCTCCTTTGGGAAAGCATCCAAGGAAGCAGAATAAAAAGAGAAAAGAAAAAAAAGAAGAGAAAAAGAACAAAGTAGGCAAGTATTAATAGGCAGATTTCAAAGAAATGCAATTCTAATAAACTTTCTACAGAGAGATAAAAACATAAGATTAGAAAAGAAGCTTTAAATAAAAGGATTACACCATTGCATAAGTATAAAACACATATCCCACCCAAACACAAAGTATAATCGAAGTATGAGCAATATAACAAACAATATAGAAGTTACAAATGAATGGAAGTTTCCCTTTCTGTGACTTGCAAGAGTAGATGAAAAATAGTTAAAATATGTTCAATTTCTTTCTGAGYCAACTGTCCGATATGCTCCGATTAATATTATAGCCTAATACAGCAAAGTAAACAAGATTTTCACAGACTTGTTCTAATGATACCACCTGCAGGTGATGCAATATAATGCAACCACTAAAAATATGAATATATCAGCATTTCACCCATCACACCTACATGATTTTTTTCAGGAATTTAATTAAACTTAAGTTAATCCAGGCACAAGAAATCAGGGCTATGGAAAGCTCACAAAATAACGATAAAAAGGTACTTTTCTGAGTCATTTTATTTTAGTTTATATGAAATTTCAGAACATTCAGAAGGGTGTTTGTAAAATGTTTAATAATACACCATTTACTAGATGATGAGCCAAAAATAAACATTGGATAATGGCCTTCCAAATACAGAACCTATGAATAGTGTACATATGAATAGTGTACAAATGAATAGTTAGTTGCTTGTAATGGGCTGTCTAGATGGAGACTATGCCAGGTCAGCCTTGAGTTTTGCAGACACTTTTTTTTTTTTTTGCAAGTCAGGGGGAGAAAGATTAATCTCACCTGCCTTGAAGTGAAATATCTAGTCCAGATTAATCTGTAGTTTCACTTTTAAATTAAAATAAAAATATACTGATATTACACTCTCAGTATGCTAGGAAAGATTCTTTTCCTAACCAGAAGAGGATGGATAAGAGAAATCTAAAAATGTAATGAAAAACTTTTTTAAAGAGATACAGAATAAGTGAACGATCAGAACTTCTCAAAATGGACTTTTAACTCAACAAATGGTCTTTTCTTTCATTCTAACCAAAATAGGAATGTTTTCTTTAAGCATCACTCAATACAACCTATACTACATATTCTCTTATTTTAATTGTGAATCCTGCATCTTCACAAATATTAAACACGATTCCCTCTACAACCGCTTCATAACAAATCGATGAATGAAATATTCTAATAAAATGAAGCATGAAATGACAAACTTAATGAACAAACTATAGTTTGACAATGCCAAGAAGGCTTTTTATTACAAGCAGATGTCAAAACACTTACATTGTTTGATCGTAGAGAGACACGACCTCCACATCGAGCACAAAACTTGGTCCGGCAATAAGAGCATAAATGGCCACAACCATCTGCAAACTTTGTTTTATGACAGATTCCACATGTTGGAGCATCATCCTTGTGCTCTCCCTGGTAACGGCGAGCTTCTTCCCCTATCTTTCTTACTTGTTCTTTATAGCTTTCAAATTGCTGATGCAACCTCCTGCATAGATGAGAAAAAAGTTTATATAGCAAGAATGGAAGGAAACACAATTACCCTATATTTTTAATTCCAATTTACAACTAAGGCTAATAGTCTTGTGCATTTCATCTCATAGCAAATACCCACAGCATCTGGAAGACTGCAATAGGATATGAGTGTTCGTATTAGATTTACTTAAAAGATGGTGAAAAAATCATTTCAGTTGAACACAAATTGAGCAAGATATGCAAAGATGGCTAAAATTGCACAGCCTTATGTTAAAGTGTCTAAAATGTACAAAATAAAAGCTCAAATATAACTGCCTTGACACTTAATCGTCATTAGCTTTTTATACAGCAAGCACAATCAAAAATTATAACCAAGCTTCAGTTAGGTAATACTGTCTGGCAGAAGAGCATGTTCTTTACTTGTTGCTATGAGACTCATCCCTCACAACAGTTTCAGATGTAGCATTAAATCTACATCTCCATAGATAATATCAAAAACCCAAGAACATCTAAATAGCTTATTATTAGAAACACAGAGTCTTGAGTTTAATAAATGCTAAGAGCAGGTATGCTGTCTATAGAAGCCTTGATCACATCCTTCATCTCCACCTGCTTCGAACTACCAACTCCATTAATCAGCTCGGAGATTCAAACCATTTAACCAATGTATTTCTAGCCAGAAAATTCTACGTTTGTGCAGGAATGTCTTTTTGAGTGGTGGACTTGTTTCAAGTTTTAGGAACAAGTAATCAGTGGTGGTAGGTCATATACAACGAACATTTCCCCTAAATACTGTTTCAGTGGGATATTTTTACTTTATGATGATAGTCAAGCTTAGAAAATGGTAATTAAACTTTATGAACAGAAATACAGATCCCATATACATATTCAGTTTGAATAGGAATACCATTGCTCGTGATTTTATAAATCAATCAACTCTCACACTAAAAATAATGACTTTACTGGGACACCACTCCTCTGAGGACACAGAAATAGTAAGAGGCAAAGCAAGAAAGCCAGATATTCGATTCTTCCTAGACTTAGTGCTTTATGCTAATGAAAAACTTGGCAAGAGTAGCAATTTTGTTTTTGCTTTGCTTTTGTTTTTGCTAACTTGCTCAAGAAATATTTGCAGTCTTGGTGAGACAAGGAAAGTGGATCAAAAGAATTACAGAATGGAAAGGAAAGAAGGAAACTTAGTGCCACATTATTGGATTACAGGTTTATACCTGTACATTATTCATCATTATTTCTTTGGCAACTACTTACTTAAAATGCATATAAACAAGTGAAAATGTTCAGAAATGCATACACGAACCAGCTAAAGGAATGTATTTAAACAACAGAGAGGTTTGTAGGTACATTTCTTATTATATCAAATGTTTTATTCAAAGATGGAATCATGGAAACTAAATTTACTTCTCTTCCAGTAAAGTAAGATATGTAAGCTCTGACTCCACTAATATGGCAAAGGGAAGATAACAGATAGCACAACATCTGTTCCTATTTTTTCTCAGTAAGGTAGTGTATATCTGACTCTTTTTCTGATCTTGTGTGAAGTCCAGAAAGTGTATTAATACAATTGCACCTTGTCCTTCTGTGTGGACCAAAGGGCAGACCAATCTGTCGCTAAGCAAAATTTAATTGAAAATAGAATTTAATTATTTATAAATAAACATTACTCACATATCTTTATTTATTTATAGAAAGAAAGAGAGAGAGAAAGAGAGAAAGAGAGAGAGAAAGAGAGAAAGAGAGAGAGAGAGAGAGAAAGAGAGAGAGAGAAAGAGAGA